ACTACTACTACTACTACTACTACTACTACTGCTACTAATACTACTACTACTACGACTACTACTAGTACTACTACTACTACGACTACTACTACTACTACTACTACTACTACTACTACTACTACTACTACGACTACTACTACTACTACTACTACTACTACTACTACTACTACTACTACTACTACTACTACTACTACTACTACTACTACTACTACTACTACTAGTACTACTACTACTACTTTTTTAAACTAATCATACCGCCGCATTTTCATCTTATCTATTTTGTTAGTTTTAAGGTTTACAAAGTAAGGAAATTATCTTTTTTTTTAATATTTACGATTTAATTGGATAAATTTTTATTTTTTCATATTTTTACAACTATTATTTATTATTATTTTATTTAATTAAAAAACAATTTTGTTCATCTAAGAGGAATAATTTTCTCGCAGTAAAAACTCATGGCGCTCTCGAGGCGACTGAATTGCTAATTATGACGGCAAGTATAATAATATGAATTATAAAAAAGTTTCGCAAAATAATAATAATAAAATTTAGAAAATTAATAATAATAATAATAATAATGACGATGAAGAAGTTAAAGGAGTGATGTTGTCTGTTTTTCTTTGAATTTTTCGGTTTGTTTGGATTTATATCTCGTCTTATCGGTCTCATTTTCGTTTCTATTGTTTCTCCCTCTCTCTCTCTCTCTCTCTCACTTTCTCTCTCTCAGTCTTTCCCTTTTTTTTCTTTCTCTCTCTCTTTCTCTCTCTCTATTCCACATAAGTCAAGTAGAGAAGAAAAGAATGAAGCTTAGCAACCGTCAACCGGCAGTTGCTAATTTACAATGGCAGAAATAGAAAAAAATATTCGTTCAGATCTTTAATCTGAGTTCTGATTGGTTGGCTGGCTGGTCAGCTGGCCGACTCTCCGTCCGATTGGTTGATTGGTTGATGGTTAGTTGGTTGATTGGTTGACGACCAGTTGGTTGATTGGTTGATTTTTTCTGGATCGATTCGCGTGTTGCTAGGTTGATTGATTTGCTGGTTGATTGGTCAGTTAGTTGGCTAGTTCTTATTGGTTGATCGGTTATTTGATTGGTTGGCTTGTGGAAGGTATGAAAACAAAAATAATAATAACATGTGCAACCAACAATAACGAGAAGAATAACAACAAATGATTACAACGGTAAATAAAAAATATTATCACAAAAAATAATACTCACCCTATAATGAGAGTATGTGTCGGACTCTTATTTTTATAAACTATTGTGAAAACGTATGTGTGTTAGCCTGTGTGCGTGTGTTCGTGTGTGTGTTCGTGTATGTGTGCGTGTGTGTGTGTGTGTGCGTATGTGTGATGATGACGACGACGATGCTGGTCTTGATAATGATAACGAAGTTGATGGCGGTAATGAGGCAAATTTAAAAAATCCAAAATATTGACGGGCACCCAGAGCCAAAAATTAACAGAAATTTTTTTTTTTGTGACGTCACCGTGTAAATGGCAATTATGACGTTGATGGGCGTGATGGGAAAGTAATAATGATAATGATAATAATAATAATAATAACAATAATAATAATAGCAATAATAATAATTTCTCTTTTCTCTCTCTCTCTCTCTCTCTCTCTTCCAAGCTACACACTCCTTCAGTTAGATTTATAATCATAACACTATCCTCGTCTTCTTCGTTGAGGTCATCATCACCGTGATGTCATCATCATCATCATCAACAACAACAATGACGTCATTAAAGAATGACGTCATCATCGTCCTCGTCATCATTATCAGAACAGGCAGAGTCATACTCGTCCCAGTGAGACTAACGAAACACGCGAACCAGCGAGATATATTCCATCATAAAAGTTTGACAGGCTCCTAATGCAAGCTCTTTTTTTATTGGTCAGCTGGCTAACCAACTTAACCCGTTTCCGGAAATTTGACCTGTTTCCGGTTCCGGTTTCCCGTCAGAATTGTGGACGAAAGCGGAAGTAGACTTTTGAAATGTTAGTACTTCGAAGTGAAATGGTAAGCAAAATATGAACATATAAAAATAATAAAATAGTTTGTTAGAAAAAAAAATAATAACCGATCGCAGTTATGATTATGACGTCATCCTGACGGCGATGGTGATGGTGATAAAGTTGGCGAAGATGATAGTGGAGATGAAGGTAAGGATAATAGAGATAATGATGGTCATGGAGAGAGAAAGAAAGAGAGAAAGAGAAAGAGAGAGAGATTGTTGAGGATGACGTAAAAGTCACGTCATCAAGAGCACTAATGAACATTTATGATTTAGTAAATGAGCTTTGCCCGCTAACCCAACCGAAAAATCTCATCATCATCGTCGTCATCATCTGTGACGTCATAGTCATCATCACCGTCATCTGTGACGTCATAGTCATCATCACCGTCATCAGTGACGTCATGGTCATCATCATCATTCTCAGCAGCAGCAGCAATCTTAGTATCAACATCATCGTCTACATCATTATTGCTACTATTATTAGTATCATCAACATCGTCGTCGTCGTCATCACCATTATTCTCTCCCTTCTTATTGGTTACCATTATTCTCACCCCTTTTTTATTACCGCGGTTAACTGCAGCAGCTGTCGTAGCGACTACAGCAGCCTCATAAATTCTACTAAACAGACTTTTTTCTCCCATTAAAAACCTGTAAAAAATGTCCCTGAAACAATATTTCACCCTGAAGTTTCAAACTATCTCCCAAAAAAAAGAAAGATTAAGACGCTACAAAACATTTACTTTCCGCCCAAGGATCCATCCATCTGTCTTTTCATTCATCCATTTATCTTTCCATTCATTCGTTTTTCATTCATTCACTCTACTTCTTTGTTTGTCTATCTAATTATTTGCTCGTCATACATTTGTTTTTCATCGTTATGTATATTTATGTATCTATGTACATTAATTCACTCGTTCGTTCGTTTGTTCTTTCATTCATTCATTCATTTGTTCATTCATTTTCACGTGTCTATCAATTTATTTCTTTATTTTTTTGTCCATCTATCTGTCCATTCGTTCATTCATTCACCTACCTACTTGATTGTACGTTATACTTTCATATACCTTCGCTTTTTGTCATTTATATTCACGATATCAACAATACTGTTTCCATAATTTTCTTTCATCTCTCCATCCATTCATCTATCTATTCATCTATATATATCCATTCATCTATCTATTCATCTATATATATCCATTCATCTATCTATTCATCTATATATATCCATTCATCTATCTATTCATCTATATATATCCATTCATCTATCTATTCACCTATTTATATATTCAAGTCTGTCTGTCTTTTTATCTGTCTGTGTCTGTCTGTTTGTGTCTGTCTGTTTGTCTGTCTACATCAAGTTTTTTATTCGCTTAGGCATAAATATATGTAACTTTTTATTAAACATGTCGTAAATCATTTTCATTATTCATTTTAATCATTCAGTCTATTATTAATATATTTGTTCATGCGTTTGTTCGTTCATACGTTTGTTCGTTCATATTTTGTTCGTTCATCCATCCATCCATCCATCCATCCATTCATTTTTCAATGTAGTAGCAATTAATTTTATTGTTGTTCTACCCGCAGTACGTGGCGCGCCCCAAAAATCACATCCATCATGGTATCCACCACATTCATTCATTTATTTATTTATTTATTCATTCATTCGTTCGTTCATTCGTTCGTTCATTCATTCGTTTATTCGTTCGTTCGTTCGTCTATCCGTCCGTCCGTTCGTTCGTTCGTCCGTTCATTTATTTATTCAATCACTCATTTACTCACTCATTCACTCACTCATTCATTCACTTATTCATTCATTCATTCATTCATACATTCATTCATTCATTCATTCATTCACGTACGTACACAACCATGCATTTGAAATATTCTACAATGCTTCAACACGCAAACAGGCTGTTAGCGTTAATATTGTTATTAATATTCCACTGGGAAATTATTTATAATAAATAACATAATATTAATATTAATTATTATTATTATTATTAATTATTATTAATTATATTACTAATAATAATTCATTAAGAACAACAAATTATACATTGTCGTTAACATTATTTTAATTACTGATTGAATTATTTTTTAACTTTCATAAGACATCCGTAACAACAATTACATGAGAAAAAATACAAAATAACGAAAAAAAAACGAACCACACGAACAAAAATTAACATCAACGACCATAATAACAATAATAATAATAATCATACATCAATAAAAACAACAACATCAGTACAACAGCAGCAGCAGCAACAGTAGTAGCCACAGCAGCTGCAAAATCAACAGCAGTAGTAGGAACAACCACCACACCACGTCTCGAAGATTTATCCAATCGTTATTGGCATTCGTACAGGCTTGTTTGACGTGGAGAAACATAACTTGCCTGCCGTAAACAACAACAACTACCAACACGAACTGCATTATTGGGCTCTGTACTTCAATGTCTTTTTTTTAACTCTCTTTTTATCATCGTCTTCCTCTTCATTATCATTTTCTTCTTTTTAATCATCGTTCTCTCTCTCTGTCTTTCTCTTTTTCTCTCTCTCTTTCTTTCTCTCTCTCTCTCTCTCTCTCTTTTCATCATCATCTTCATCGTCGTCGTCGTCATCTTAGTCGTTTGTCGTCATCACCACATCTTGAGAACATCAGCAAGTTGAACATTATTTGTTGACAACATTATCATTTATGACGATGCATTAACTCACTAGTCCACCATCAATAAATAGCAAAACAACAACTTTTGAAAGACTTGGTTAATTGAAAGCGTTACACAGATATTTTAATAATAATAATAAAATAATGACGTCATCATCGTCGACATCATCATCATCATCATCTTCTTCATCAGAAACGAAAGCCGCCACAACGACAACAAGGACCACACCTGTAGTAGCAGCGGCGACGAACGGCGTCGTTGAAAATAAAATTAATCTTCAATTCATCCAACACCTTTCAAAATGAATTTCCACGTCATCAGCTCTGACGTCATTAGCACCTTTCCGCAGAATCCAAACCCCCAGCAATCTCACCACAACAACAACCACTACCACCAACAACAGCAACAACACCATCATCGCCATCTTCACCATCAAAACAACCTCACAGACTATAACTCAGTGAATCACTCATCTTACGTCACAATCGATCGACTCCAAGCTGCTTACAACCCAATGGATCAGCTAGGCGTTACGTACAATCCGCCAGCAGCAGCAGCAACAGCAACAGCAGCAGATCATTTTTCAAATGAGTTGAACAACCTCTCCAACCTAACAACAACGACCGCGACCGACTACCCATACATTTGCACATTTTACGATTTCCTCATCGAGGCGGTTCTAATGGGGATGCTCTGTTTGTTCGGTTTTCTCGGTAACAGCGCCAGTATCGCTTGTCTATCGAGAGACCGATCAAAAACCGCCACACCGTTCCTACTCATCTCTCTGGCCATCGCCGACACTTTATTCCTGGTCGTTGTCTTCTTCATACGAGTCCTGGCCTCAATAGATACGTTCGGCTGGAGGTTTTTAAAAGATAATGCGGTCTACTTATGTAAGTATGGATATCCGTCGGCTCTGCTGGCTCAGACGACGGCAATATACTTGACGGTTTTAGTTACTTTGAATCGGTTCGTGGCGGTATGCTATCCGTACCGGGCTAGGGACATTTGTTCGATAAAAAACGCTCGCTTCCACGTTCTGCTTGTTATCCTTTTTTCCATTCTATTCAACATTCCGAGATTTTTTCAATGGGAAATCGTTTTAAAGCCGGTTAGCGAGCTCCATATTCAAGTGAATACACCCGGTAACAATAATTTTATTGACTCGAATGCGAGCATGATCGCAAATGGCTCCGACGGGACCGACGATGCTGTTCACGACAAATTCAATAAAAATGACGTCATCATCAGCAACCACAACGACAACATAAATGACGTCATCGTCAAAAACAACAACAACATCAACATCATCAGTGGTCACATCAAAGGTAGCGACAACAATAACAGCAAGCACAGGCATTACTTCGACGACAATAAAAGTAGTAATAATACGGCAGCCGTCAGCAGTGGCGGCCACAGTAACGACCCGAAGTATAATTTTAGTGCGCATTTATGGCTTACAACGCCCTCTGCACACACAGACCAAGGAGGAGTTTCTATTAAAATGAAAGACTCGCCGAAGCTTTTTTCCCATTCAATTGATGATTTTTACAACAGTGAAAGTTACCAAAACAACAAAAATAAAAATAGCGGTGACAAAAATTACGATTACAACTCTAACGACAACAACAACAACAACAAAAATAACATCAACTACGTCACCAGCAGTGACACAACAACTCTCGCTAACACTTCGAAGACGGACTCTCACAACAGCAGCAACAACAACAACAGATCCACAGACGCTAACTACAGAGTGACGTGCCAGGAACCTGAATTCACTAAGCATTCGGCATTTTCAGTGGCCTATGGTACTGTAGCCTATTTCATCGTCATGTTTCTTGTTCCTCTGATATCACTCTCCTTCCTAAACGTCAGGTTGATTGGCGCGCTCAGAAAGGCCAAGGCTAGGAGGGAGAAATTATTGAAACGGAAGAAGATTACAGAAGGTTTGGGAGGGTTGAAAAGTAAAGCGCTAAATAATGCGTTAACTGAAAAATTGCTAACTAATCCATCTCGCAGCACAACTTCCTCCACTACTACTACCACCACTACTACTACCACCACCACTACTACTACTACTACTGCTGCTATCGCCAACTTTGTTACTACCACAACTCAATCTAGCAGCAATTCACACAAAGTTTCAGTTACAAACACTACCCATGCTCCGAACATTACAACATCTGGCACAGCTACTACTAAGTCGATCGCTGCTACTGTTGCTAACGACGTGACGAACACTAATATTTCTACGAATGCTAGTACGAATGATGTGTCTTGTGTTACAGACAGTGCTAGCAAATACGTCGCCGATTGCCAAAAAGTTGGCAAAAGTGAATTTGAAATGAGAGATGCGACCATAAACGGAGCGCCGGCCACAAGACAGCAGCAGCAGCAGCGACAATCCTTACCAAAAGTTGAAGAAAATAAAAAAAATCATCTGCAACTGCCAACTTCATCTTCGCCAATGAGCAACACAGTGGCAGCCATCAACAAGAACACCATAACTACAACAACACCATCGACCTGTCTCAACAACTCCACAACCAGCGTTCCGAACCCGGCCTCTGGCAGTACAAATCCTTCAGAGGATGACATAACCTTCATGTTAATAGTAGTAGTCATGGTCTTCGTCATCAGCCAGGCCCCTGCCCTGTTGACCCAACTCTTTTCCTCTCTCTCGACCAATCACGACCTAAGATGTCCGCACCCGTTCTTCTTCTACGAACGACTGAGCGATTTGTTAGTCGTAGCTAACAGCAGTTTAAACTTCATAATTTACTGTTTGAGCAGTGCGC